TGTGTTCTTGCTTTTGCTAAAGATGTTGTTGTTGTTGCTGCTGCTGCTGCTGCTGCTGCTGTTGTTGTTTTTGTTAAGGATGTTGCTGTAGTTGTTGTTGTTGTTGTTGTTGTTGATGATGTCGCTACTGCTGCTTCTGCTGCTGCTGTTGTCTTTCTGTCTATCTATAGCTCTTACTTCTCTTTGTCACCCTCTCTCGCTATTTCTCTTTCTATCATCTTCATTTCTTTCTCTATATGTATTTTTCTTACTCCCTGTTTTTATTTATCTCACTCTTTTCTTTTGCCTCATTCTGAATATTTTTTGCGTTCTGTCTTTTTCGTTTTCTCATTATACTTAGGCCAAACTTGTTTTTCCATCTTCACCTCTGAGAAAAGAGATCTGCCCTAAGTGACTGACATCGTTTGACTTTGTATTGTCTTTTCTTTTTAAAAAATTTTTAACCCGATATCTAAATTATGTTGAAATAAGCTCAAAACCGTACATGTAAATTAAGACCTCAAGTCTTGTACCAGATTTGTTCTCAGGACCTTCCATAGTATAGGTAGGTGTACACACCTTTGAAATTCTATAAGAGAGGCTGCCCAATGACCAAATGGACTGGACCTGATTTGCATGGTCAGGTCGGATCGGGTTGGATCGAAGAATAGAGTTGGCTAGTTCTACTTTATCCAGTAAACCTTGGCATTCATCTTCAGGCTTGACCTGGAGATCCGGCCTATCGCATTTCGCAAACAAAGAAAAGGTCTTATCTCACAATGTCCTGTGAGAGATAGTAGCCTTCTGATTGGTTATTTCCCAACATTTTTATTACAAGAACCAGATCATGACCAAGAACATCATGTGATATGTTAAATTTTAGAGAGGATTTGCTCAAGTTAAGCCAAAATGGTAGCTCTTACCCACTCCAAGAAGGATAATCTGGTCGCTCTCAACTGTATCTCGGGTGGTGCGAGGGTGCCACTGGTAGGTGTTTCTTCTCTAGAACCTTCTTTCCCTCTGGTGTTTCTGTCTGTCTTTCCTACTTTTTCCCAACACTACGCGCCCATTGTTATGTGATGTGTTTCTCTATACTCAAACAAACAAACAAACAAATGTCTTACTTTTTGCCAATTTTAACTGACCAAACAAACCAATCAAGTGGGTGGTTTGGCGGGTGCTCTGGTGTGGTTTGCTCCTTCTTTCCTATCAAACGTCTGTCGTCCTGATCTCTCCTCCTCCTGTTTTATGTTTGTTACTCTCTTGTAACACTTCTACTCTTCGGCGCTTATATGACTTTATTGTGTTGCAAGTACCATAAAACACTTACTAAAACTAAATTTTAAAAATCGATCGTCCTTATCTCCCCTTCTTCTTCTTTTTTGTGTTTGTTACTTTCTTGTAACACCTCTAATCTTCGGCACTTTTATGACCTTATTGTGTTGCGAGTACTGTAAAAACACTTACTTATTACAAACAAAATCAAGTGTATCAAGCCAGGGGATTTTTAGGAAACTTTGTGTAGTGTGCACTGAGTTTTAGCTGGAGCCCTGGGGGCAAGGTCCGCCCTCATACCTCGGATATCTGCCTTATCTGAACGCGTCGCTGTCAGGCTCTGGGGCCGGCTCCTAACTGATGATAATCATTAGCAGCCATTTCCGCATGAAAAATATACAAAGAAATAAGAAGAAAAAACGCCCTGTGTGTGTACTGTAGTGTACAAAATATGTGCGCGCTTGTACTTACGCATACACGCACACGCTCACAAACACACATTTGCACACATACAGAACAGATACATACACACTCGCGCGCGCGCGCACACACACACACACACACACACACACACACACACACACACACGCGCGCGCGCACGCACGCGCGTACACATACACACACACACACACACACACACACACACACACACACACACATATCATACACAGACACACATGGTATACTATGTGTACATGTTTGTGTGTGCATGTATAGTATGTGTTCATATGTTTGTACTCCGATATTTATGTAATACTTGGGGAAAAAACCAATAGAATCGAAAGCGAAAACATTGTTTACTCTTTCTGTCTCTGAATCTATCTTTTCCGACGTTTTCATCTTCCGTATCTGAATTTCCAAGACACATTTACACAAGGGCGAGACTGCTTACGTGCATACTTCTCCGATAGAGAATGACCCATATACCTTCACGTTTAAGCCATCTGTCTCTTTTATAACATTTTGGAATTTTTATAACAAAGGCAACGCCTCTACGTTCAAAGTTTTCGGTTAATCATCAATATCAGCCAGCGGTGAATATTGTTCTCTAAAATTGTTTATCTCCCCCCTCCCCACCCCCCACCCCCACCCTCCACACACACACACGTATGTGCGATATGCAATCCTCATCAATGTTAAAAAACGTGTCCAGGGCTAAATGTTATGGATAAAAAGGTATGTTTTCTTATTTATATCATTGAGGCTTGTCAAAACCGTTTGGAAAGAAACAGACGAGGCAAAAAAAGCAACTTCATGTCTGAGAGTGCCTGGAATATGTATAGGAATTTGTTCTCCTTTGGGGTATCCAACCAACCCTCGATCCCCTCCTCGTCTACCCCCCACCCCCA